GTGATACGAAATTTTTAAGTGATGGTAAAATTAAGCAACCTTTGCTAACTTTACATGTTATCGCAATTGCACTTTTATTATTGTAGAAATTTTCAAACTATCGGCACCGATAATTTATGTAAATTTTTGCCAGGGTTTCTACTGTTATTATAAAGATTTTATCGCGATAACGAAAGTAATATCTAAATAAGATTGGCTGCTAAGGTATAAATCAGTTTTATACATTTGCAACCAACACTATGCATTATTTAGCAAACAAAATATATGTGTGTATGAGAACTGTTCCTTTCCAAACTTCTAAGTAGTGGTACCTTAAAAAAGAAGCACGCACTACCACTATAAGATAAGTGCAGGGTAGAAAATTTATGTTAAGTTTTGCTCTTTTATCAAAACGATAAAAGAACAAAAACTGGTAAGAAATTTACTACAGTAGGAATTTACTACCCCTATAAGAAAAGTGCAGAACAGAGAGTTATGTTTATCATAACGTAAAAGAGCAAAAACTGGTAAGATTTCATTCTGACTTTTTTTCGCAATTAGGAAAATATCCATACTACCAAGATATAAGGGACTGTTTTTTTTAACTCAAGTAAAATTCAATATTAATGATTAGTTCATAAATAAGAATTGTACGGACTTATTTCACCCCCCCCCCGAAAAAAAAATCAGCTATAATTCAAATGATTTTACAACCAATTGTTTCCTCCTTTCCGAATTGTATTTTCCTAGAGGAACGTTTGTTAATATTGACTTGTCCTTACTGGCTCTGTCTAGTCAGTTGTTCGTAAAAATATGTAATAAGCATATTATTTCATAAAACAATAAATGTCAATATTGAAAACGATGAATAAAAACGGTCTAGATCGACGATTGAAAAGAAAATTAAGAATTTACTTTTCCTCTATAACCTTGTTCTTAAATTGCTAATTATCTATCAAATGTTTAGTCATACAACTACATATAAAAGTCTAACAGATTAGACAATCAGCTAAAATTTACAAAGAAATTTTAAGTGACAAATCTCAGAAGTATTTCTTTTGTATTTTTCATAATCATTATTTCTTATTTTCTCTACACATATATACTAGGTGCGGCGTTTATGAACTTAGGGCACATCATACGGATTGAAAACTGCTATGTAACCCTGGCAACCCAACAAGGACGCTTCCTCCATATGAATTAGCTCTTTGTCTACATTTGAAATAGTACTTTCATTTACCAAAATTCCCCAAGGTTTATGCATGATAATAGGCTTGCATCACACATGTTGAGTATATTTATTATGTTTTTTAATATATTATTACATTCATTCCAAATTCGATTTTAACCGGTTAAATATTTCTGGAAATAACCGGTGAAATTTAGAACATAAGTGTAATATTATGGGTGAATTGGGTTGCACGTTACTTTGGGCGACAAAAAAAAAGTTTTTAAGATTCATATTTAGAGCGCTCTTAACAAAACAATCAGCAGAAAACAACAACTTCAATAATTGATTAAGTTATTTACATTCAATGCTAAAAACTATCAATACTTTCCCGTTGAGCCGTGGTGGCTCAGGAGATTGAGCGCTAGCCTCTCAATAAGGTTACCCAAGTTCTAATCCCAACAATCGCTGGTGGTTATGAGTTCTGCTCCCGCTCGCTCCTACCACAGTGCCAACGTAAAATGTCCCCAGCGGTATATGGATCAGGGGTTAAAGTGCCCTTTCTGTACCTAACGTTGGAGGTTTTTGTGGTTATTCACTCTATGTAATGTTAAATGTGGGTTAGTTCCATCAAAATAGCCACCAATTCTCTTAAGGTCTGGTTTCTTAGGACAAGCGCCTTATCTGGGCGTCAGCGGAAAGTTGACGTAGAGAGTGATACAATTCTTTTTAAGA